GAATGTGACAAGAGTGGAATCACATTATTTGCATCATTCTCCCTTTGGTTTCTTTCACTTAGCAAGAGGCACTTGAGAGCCATCCCTGTTATCTGATTACAGTATTTTTTTTTCCCTTTTTAATCACTGAATAGTCTTCCATTATTTAAGTGTACCATTATTATTTTATCCATTCACTCATTGCTAGACTTTGGTTTGCTTCACTTATATACATAAATTTAAGTTCCCTCCATATATTTTCAGAACTTAAAAAAATTCATTTTTAATGTTTGATAATATTCCATTGTCTGAATATACCACAGTTGAACATTCTATTTACATTCTGAAAGGCATCTTGGTTGCTTTTAAGTTGTGGCAATTATAAATATGGCTGCTATAAACATCTGTGTGCAGGATTTTGAGTAGACTTAAGTTTTCAAACTGTGTGTGTGTGTGTGCACACATGTCTATGTCTGTGTGTGATTATTGCATTTTGAGCAAAAATTTGTAAGAAACCTCCAGAGTGTTTTCCAGAGTAACTGTACCATTTTTCTTTCCCAACATCAATGAAAGAGAACTCCATTTACTGGACATCCTACCTAACATTTGGTGTTCTAGATTTCGGTTGTTTTGATGTGTAGCAATATCTCACTTTTACCTAAATTTACGTCTTTCTGATGAACTATGACATGGAGCATCTTTGAGTTTGCTTACTTATTATGTAAGTAATAATACCTTTTGTGAGGTATCTGTTGAGGTCATTGACCTAAGTTTTAAGGTCATTTTTACCATTTATCAAATATTGTTTTCTTTTCTTTTCTTTTCTTTTTTAAGAGACAGAGACAGAGAGAGATACAGAGAGAGAATTTTAATATTTATTTTTTAGCTTTTGGCGGACACAACATCTTTGTTTGTATGTGGTGCTGAGGATCGAACCCGGGCCGCATGCATGCCAGGCGAGCGCGCTACCGCTTGAGCCACATCCCCAGGCCCAAATATTGTTTTCTTATTGCTGAGTTTTATCAGGTCTTTGTATATTTGTGGTAACAGTCCTTTATCAGATGTTTCTTTTGCAAATATTTTCCCTCATTCTGTGGCTTGTTATTTCATTCTTTTTGCCATCCACACACATATACTTTACAATATTTTGAATGATTTATGACCACAGTTAGGTACAAGTCTCTACATTAGTATGTGACAGTCTGAAAGGGAGGAAAGATTCCAAGGAACTGAAAAGGCTGACCTTTAACTAGCCAGATTTCTAAAGTTATGATATTCTATGACAAAGAACATTATCTGTACATTGCACTAATTCTCCTATCAATATACTTGCTGTTCAGGGTTAACAGTTTAGTTATGGGCATTTACATATTATATCTTCCATTAAACTTTCAATGAGCTTAAATCTATTTTTATACCACTTAGAATAATAGCACTTCAAGATTTAGATAGTATAGTTAGAGATCTTTATTGAATGATTATACATTCTATCCTAAATTATGCTTTCATATGAGCTCATTTTATACATGTGTAAAACATATTAATAGAATTAAATAGGTCATATTTCCATGAAGAGGAAAGTAGATTTCAGAGACAACCCAATGACACAAAATAAGTATCAGAAGTGGAAATATATGCTGATTTATTAGACTTCTTTTCTAGGCCTAAGCATGCATGAAGCATTCATTTTATACCAAGTGCCAATGCACATACAGTCATCTTTTTTTATCATTTTTATCATGTACTCCATTGCTACAAATCATCCATTTGTTTACCATGGGAAAAAAAATAATGACACTTTCATGTCCCTGAAGAGAATTACTGTGTTTCCTACTTGGAACATCCCTGTGGACTTTAAGAAGAGCTCAAGGAACTGACATAAGAATGAAAATTCACAAAATGCACAGTTTGCCTTAGCTGAGAAGTTTATTTGCAAAGGTAAGAGGCAAGGCATTCTTTCCTTACGAAATACTTAGATCTGTAACCTTGAATTTGGAACTAAAGTATATATGTTAGTAGTACTAAAAATGCATTTACATGAAAATGTTTTAATTGTAAAGTTTGAAATATATGTATATGCATGTACATATATGATTAAAATTCATAAAAAATTTCCAAATTTTACTAAAGTATAAAAATAAATAGGGAATTATAAAAGCTGTATTTCTTCATGGTCTTGAATAATCAAGGGACTACAAACAAGAAGATAATAAATATTTCTTCTTTTTGTTATAAATGTATACCATATATATATATATATATACACACACACACACACATATATAATACACACACACACAAACACACACACTAAGTACTACTCTAAGAGAATTTTACATAAGTGGACTGTATTACAATTTGAATTACATACCTGTCAGGGACTACAGCAGGGGAAACAAGGAGGGTTCCCTCTATATTTCAGTTAAAAGAGCTGTAAACTAAGAATTTGTTTTGATTTTATTGAGAAAATATAACTGTCAACATAAGGTGGTAAAAAAGGAGTTATAGTTATAATTTAGAAAAATGATAAAATGGATAAAAAACATTAACTTTCAATCCGCCACTGGTTACACATTAATCGGGGAATTTTTTTTCTTATGAAGGGATAAATATGAATTTAAATTTTATTTCTAGTTAGGAAATTTACCTGGGAATAACTTAAGATTGTCTTTAATCCCATGGTTTACTGAAGTTGGACTGCTTTATAAAATAATTCATGTATGTGAGGATCTGATTTTGCCTTGCTTTCAGATGATCCTGGAGCTATGGCATGTCATACTGAGTCTGCAGTGTGGCCAAGAGGATAAAGCCTCGGTGTGGATTCACAGAAGTCTGGGCTTGAATCCTGGCTCTGCTACCAACTGTGTGACTTGCTTAAGTTATCTGTTTTCTCTTCAGTAAGGGGATGTGGAATCACTTATTCTACATATCAATCTCATGAAGATTACATAAGATAATGCACACAAAATATTTTACCCCTGGCGAAATCTGCACACCGTGAGAGCTGCTGTCTAGCTTTCCTTCTTGATGAGCACAGGTTTGTAATACTATTCCCTTACACGCCCAGTGATTGTGTTTTCTGTGAGCATTAAGGAGCTGATTTTCCTCCGTCTTCCAGACTCATTATTTTTGGTTGAAAATTCCACAGTCTACATTTTGGCTTTCCAAACTCTGTCAAAGTGAAGTCAGATAGAATAAACACAATCAGTTCTACTTTCCTAAATTATTACTTTGACAGAAATGTCTGTGTTGTGAGCATTTTGAAAATATATCTAGATATCACACTGTTGGTCTCTCTTGCCTCTATTTCCCTATAAGAGTAAATATGGACTCTAAAGAGGCATGGTTTAGAACAAAATATACTGTGACTCATAGATCTCCTTACTCTACAGCCGAGCTCAGAGCCATCAAAGTTTACTAGAAAAATATTGTACCAGACATAGTAGGGGAATATATTTAAACAAATTAATTATTGTACTGTCATAACAGGAGGCATACTACAGTAATGCAGATGCACTTTAAATATAATATACTATAGAATATTGGGATATTAGGTATCATATCATTGGAATAGTGTGTGTGTGTGTATGTGTGTATGTGTGTGTGTGTGTGTGTATACCTTCCTGTTTGGAGCCCATTGATTATTCAAGACCATGAAGATATACAGTTTTTATAATTCCCTATTTTTATGAAAACATTTTTATGTAAAATGCATTTTATATTCTCATAAATAGGTACTCTCTGGTGATATCTCATTCATGTAGTTGAACAAGAAAAAAATTTTGGTCAATCTTAATCTTTCTTTCAGAAGAACTAACTTTTCCAAGCTCACAATTGTCAATAAATAGTAATTCTGAGCTTTTAATATAGGGGTTTAAAGTCCAAATAAATGTGAAGGAATGGTCATGAATTGTTTTTGAGACAAATGTATCTAAAAACTATACCCAAAAATTTGTATGTATAATCATCTTATTTATTGAAATATTTGAATTCAGTTAAAATAATGTGTTTAAAAAAACCCAAAATGGAAAACATGATGATGTTTATTTCAAGAATAAAAATGAAAAACAAAAACTAAAACTAATTTTAATATAAAACACATTAAAATTATTCTTACTTGGTATACAAGGTGCCCCTCCTTTCAGAAGAATTCCTATTGTGGTTTTCAACCTTGCCCTTCAGTACTCTTGGAATTAAGCAATTGTCATAAGAAAGGACTTGATATGCTTTGGTCAGAAAAAATGCCCTGAATGATGAACTAAAATGTAAGTCTAACAAAACAAATTTCTATGAATGTTGAACTGAGACTACATAAGCAATAATTCTCACCCTCTTTTCTTTATTTCAACTAAATGTGATCTTATAAGTGTGATTAATTCAATTAAAAAAAGAAACTTTAATGGAAATCATCCCATGGACTTTGTATGGAACCTAGAATATGCATTCAGTTTGTGAATTTAAAGATGATGTACTGTGAAAACAAGTAAAGAAATCTGACAGAAAATAAATGTAAAGTTAAGGAAATTTACTTGGCAGATTTTTTTAATGTGACAAACATATCCAACAGCTGATTAATTTTTTTCAATTCATTTAAACAGAATAATGCTTCCACTGGAATACATCATCTTCACCATTGCACACTCTTTAATGGCAAGGATTTTGCTATGCTTTTCCAAAGCCCAAACGTGAGGACTTAATTGACTGGACTCTACTTTTGCAGGATATTGCTCTTAATATATGATCTATTTTTGAGTAGGATCCATGTGCTGCTGAGAAAAAAGTGTAACTGCTTGATGTTGGGTGGTATATTCTATATATGTCAATTAAGTCTAGGTTATTAATTGTGTTATTGAGTTCTATAGTTTAAGGTAGTTGTAGTTTTGTGGATTGGTTTCTGTGTCCTCTATTCTGTACCATTGGTCCACCCGCCTGTTTTGGTACCAGTACCATGCTGTTTTTGTTACTATTGCTCTGTAGAGGATATTGCTCTTAGAAAACATAAGTGTTAACTTAAACGTCAGGGACATCATCAAATATGGATTTATCCAGGATTCAGTTCAACAATGCTACTGAAGTCACAATGTTTATATTTTTAGGCTTCACAGATGATTTCTACCTGCAAGTTTTCCTATTTTTACTATTTCTTGGCATCTACCTTTTTACTTTGATAGGAAATTTGGGACTGGTTGTATTGGTCATTGAGGATTCCAGGCTCCACAACCCCATGTACTACTTTCTGAGTGTCTTATCATTCTTGGATGCCTGCTATTCCACTGTTGTCACCCCAAATATGTTGGTCAATTTCCTGGCAAAGAAAAAATCCATTTCACTTTTTGTATGTGAAACACAAATGTTTCTCTTTGTTACTTTTGGGACCACGGAATGCTTTCTCTTGGCTGCCATGGCTTATGATCGCTATGTGGCCATCTACAACCCACTTCTGTATTCAGTGAGCATGTCACCCAGGGTCTATGTGCCGCTCATCATTGCTTCCTATGTTGGTGGCATTTCCCATGCTACTATACACACAGTGGCCACTTTCAGCCTATCATTCTGTGGGTCCAATGAAATCAGACATGTTTTCTGTGATATCCCTCCTCTCCTTGCTATTTCTTGTTCTGATACTCACACCAACCAGCTTCTCCTCTTCTACTTTGTGGGCTCTATTGAGATAGTCACTATCCTGATTGTCCTGGTCTCCTATGGCTTCATCCTGTTGGCCATTCTGAAGATGCATTCTGCCGAAGGGAGGAGGAAAGTGTTCTCTACCTGTGGCTCCCACCTGACTGGAGTGTCCATTTATCATGGGACCATCCTCTTCACGTATGTGAGACCAAGTTCCAGCTATGCCTTGGATCATGATATGATAGTATCAACATTTTACACCATTGTGATTCCCATGTTGAATCCCATTATATACAGCTTGAGAAACAAAGATGTAAAAGAGGCAATGAAAAAATTACTTGAGAGAAATTTGTTCAAAAATAAAGTACATTTTAAGAATTAATTAAATCTAAAAATAATGTTACCTGTAATTTGATATCTGCATGTTCAGCAAACTAGAGGAAAATGCTGTTGATTTCAGTTAATAGTGATATATATGCTAGAATATGTTAAAATAAAATGTTAATTAGCCCTCTAAAGCAGCATGTTAGAAATGATGATATATTAAATTATTTGTATACCTTCCTATGTTCAAACTGGTCTGCATTGAACAATCATTAATGCACATATATTTGTTTTTAATTAATTGATAAATATGTTGATTTTCAGTGACTATGAAAGGAATAATGTTCTCAAGATTGTATGACTTCATATATGTGTGCATTGCTTATAATGAGTTTCTATCACCCAGGATGAATTTAAACCTGATTGTTCAATCCCTGTTCTGCCAAATGTTACTATAATTGCCCAATTTATCCTACATACTCAGATAAAACTAGGCATCTGTTACATGTTTTGCCCCTTTTGACTCTAAACCATAGATATTTCTTCTATTATTAGTCAATTTCCCTGTTCAAAAGGAGAAATTGAGTAGATCCATTCCAAGATTCCAAAACATAAATGAAGCTTTTTTTTTTTTTTAGGATTATACTCAAGGACTGGTAAACAAGTGAAAATATGGCTTAGAGAATAGCATAGAAATGGCTACTACATGTGACTATTTCAAGATCAGAAAGTTAGATTTCTTAGAAGCTGTGATCCTTGTTGCTATATGCAAGATGTGAGCTCAGTTCCAAGACCTGTATTTGTCCTCTATTTATAAGGAAAAATCTTACATTTGTTCTCATTCCACAAATTTGTAGCCAATAAAAAAAAGACCCATAAATGGAAACACTCTTTTTTTTACTGTAATTCATATCTCTTTCTGCATTATTACACTCTTTATTTATTATTGGTTCTTTTTATTATTTTTCAAAATTTGTTTACGTAAAAAGTAGATATTTACATTTTAAAATGAAACGTGTTTTTTTTTCCCCAAAGGAGTGATTTTCGTGTGATTCTATGAGAATATAGCAATCAAAATAAAATTCCAATCATGCTCAATGGCACACACCCACAATCCAGCAATTCTTCAGGCTGTGGCAGGAAGATTATAGTTGGAGGCCAGCCTCAGCAATTGAACAAAATGCTGTCTCTAGATAAAAAATTAAAATGACTATCTATGTATTTCAGTTATCAAGCACCCTTGGGTTTAATCCCCAGTAATGAAAACAAAAATAAAAATTCAAAATTCCTCTTGTGATATAATTCATAAATGTGTGTTTGAAATTTCAAATAATAGCTTGTGGTACTTCATTTTCTAATTTCTTCTAACCTATTATGGGAAGAGAGGCCACACAATTCTATTTGAACAAGTATATGTTTGAAAGTAAAATGTACATTCAAAATTCTCCTTAAAAATAAAGCAATATAATTTTCAGAGACATATACTGACAACATTGTAGACAAACTTTAAATCTATAAAAATCAAGCTTACATCTATATATATAAACATATAAATAAATAAATATATATATGATTTTTACAGCCAAAAACCTGAATTTTTCATATTCTGATCTGAGAAGAATTTTCTGTAAGAAAAAATAACCTACTTTAAAATATTTCTAGATATATCTTATAAAATTATTATAAAATATTTCTTATAAAATAAAAAATATTACATCTCATCAGTTTCATTCTTTAGGATTCAATCAAACTAGCATATTACAACACATTATGAAATGTTTTACTCTAGGTTTTATTCTAATTTATTGGTTTTATTGCTGTTTCAAATTAGAATATATAATCATTATGAGGACAAATAAAATATGAGCACAGGTATCTGGGATGATCTCATTTATAACTGGTTAAAAATCCATGTCAAGTTTAAATATAGGAAACTTACCATATCTTTCCTTTTGCAGCCATACCACAGAAGCCAAATGATGGGGATAACCATTCCCCCATCATTTGCCATTGTCCAGGTCAGTGTAAAGGAATGCCTATATTTAACACCCAAGTCAATTAACTTTTTTTCTATATATTTCAGATAATTAACTTCTTTACCTTTAAAATAACGCTTTGACTTCCCTGGTGCTCATGGGCCTTTTTATCATTTAAGGACTTTTATTTGTTATTTTTATCTTTTGAGTATTTCATTAATATAAGGTCTTCTACTACATCACTGTAACTTTCATAAAGATAAGTAAACGTCTACTAGATCTCACTGTCATATTTCTAGGCTAAAAATATACCTGAAACAGTTAATGGAAAAACAAAACAATTGAATGACATTGATTTACTGAGTGAAGTCAGGGAAGACATGAGATTGGTTCTTTTTGTGCTTAGATTGTTCAATGGACTTCGATTTGGTCTCCTTTGTCATTCTCCCTAATCTACCTTCTCTCCCTTTGCAGATCAGCTGTCACTCATGGACTAATCCAGCTCTCATCTCCACACAAGCTCTGCTCTTATTTTTTTTAACCTTTTCATGCAGTTTTAGATGGAAAAACAGGGGCTCAGTACATGATGCTTCATAGTGTATCATCTTGGCAAGCTGAGTACCTCTAAATGAAGGAGGCTGCAAGGGTCTTAGAAGCACCCTCCTTTCTTGTGTTCTGCTTTCTCCCCCGGGTAGGCCATAGAATCCCTCCTCCTCAAGGCAGGGGTTCATAAACTACAGCCCCTCTTCCCCAAAGCAATATCACTAAATATCACTAGATAGAATATCCCTTGATATTCCCCCAAGAAATATCATTAGTAATGTCACTCTGACCTTCTACGACCTTTCTGTGTACAGATGGCTATAAAGAATTCTCTGACCAACCTTCTCTGAATATAAATCATCTGACCCCCAATTTAGAAGGGTGCTGATCTACGCCCATTGGAAAAAAAAAACCAGCTATGCAGAAAGGCCAGGATTCTGAGGAGAAAGGCCTTAAGAAGTCATCCTCCTGCAGTCTCTTCTCAATCATATTCTTCTATTCAATAACATTTCTACATGACTGTGACCTGTGACGTCCATTCTTTATTTTTATTTTTTTTTCATTTTTTGGTATCTGGGTTGAACCCAGGGATATATAAAAGTTAAGCCATATCTCTAGCCATTTTAAAAATATTTTGTTTAGAGACAGGTTATCACCAAATTGCTTAGGGCCTCAATAAGTTTCTGAGGCTGGCTTTGAACTCACAATCTTCCTTCCTCAGCCTTTGGAGCTTCTGGGAAGCATGCATCCAACTGTCAATTCTTCATGAATATAAAGATCAAAAAATAATTTCCTCAGGATCTGTGCGTCTTTATTTTGGCATTTTAACTATGTCATGTAAAACTTTTATGAAATGAATTTGCATGCTTTCTGCAGTTAAACCGTCTTTGCAAGTTTTATTTTCACACCTAAACTGAGACACTAATAGTATTAAGGATTTTTCCTACCTCATAATATTAATAGGTTTTGTAGCTAATGAGATACTGGACCTCATGTATTAAATCATGAGATCTTCATAATGACTCCAATAAATGGTGGTAGTAGTACCTCTTATCACAGATGAAGAAATACTTAAATAATTTGATCAACGCTACACAGTGCTTAAGAGTGATGGCAGAATTTAAATCTAAGTTGTAAGAATGCAGTTTCTGCATTTAAACTCACTATACATAGAATGAGAGAATTACAGTTGTTTTTATTTCACCAATATTATCATTCTTTTCTTTGGGGGACATACCGGGAATTGAACTCAGGGTCACTTGACCACTGAGCCACATCTCCAACCTTTTTTTAGAGACAGGGTCTAGCTGAGTTGCTTAGTGCCTCACTAAGTTGCTGAGGCTGGCTTCGAACTCACAATTCTCTTGCCTCAGCCTCCTGAGCTGTTGGGATTACAGATGTGAACCACCACACCCGGCTCATCATTTATTTTTGAGATAATATTTTAGGAAGTATTGAAGTTATTTAGTAAATCAGTGACAAAATGAGAGAAAAAGGAGTGTATTTAAAAATTCTATAGAAGTGGTTTCCTTTGGATTTGATGATTTATTTCATTCATTAAAGTTCATGGAGTTTACAAGTTGTGAGTTTGAGTGATTCAAAAGATAAAGATAAAAAAAGGAAAGGAAGACTGAGAAAGGGAAGAAGATAGGAAGAAACAAAGAAGCGAGAAAGCAAGGTAAGAGCAGAGTGGGTGAGATCAGTCATGTCCGGACTAATTTAGAAATTCCTTTGCATTTTCAAGTTTCAGAACTTGATATTGCCCTGGTGAGTAGGGAGTTATCCACATAAGCAATATTTAAAGTCATGGCAATGGCAATGGACAGCATTTAAATGTATATAGAACCTATTCCCATATAGTATGTAGAAACCTCCATAGTAATTTTCTCCTACGCTTTATTTTAAAATTCAATATATTAAAAAAAATATATATATATAGCACATGCCTGTAATCCCAATAGCTCCAGAGGATGAGACAGGAGGATCAGGAGTTCAAAGCAAGCCTCAGCAAATTGAGGAGCTAAGCAATTCAATGTGACCCTGTCTCTAAATAAAATACAAAATAGGACTGGGGTTGTAGCTCAGTGGTCTAGTGCCCCTGAGTTCAATACCCAATACCCCCCCCCATAAAAAAACAACTTAATTTTCTGTAATCTATACCAGTGCTGAATTTGCGTTGATCCAAATAATCTGAATTCCAAGGAAAGGCAAAAGGACATGGAACACATAATTTACTTCACTCAGGGCAAAGGGTGAGAGGAAGTTATGACCACCTTACAAACATGTAGGAATATCTTAGTTACATCTTAAGGAACTGTTAAAACCAACTGTAGGCAGTTGGGGAAAGCAGTCAGACATGAAATGGACAAGTTTACAATTATTCTCAAAGTCTATTCTGCAGGACTTTAAAAAGTGGTTATTAAAACGACTAATAAAATCTAGTGTTTCAAATATATGTGTTCCTGGTGGTGAGTCATTCATTAAGTCATTGACAATTACTTGAAAAAAAAAAAGAAAGTTCTACTGG